GGAGTCTAGTGTTTAAAATAGGGTTTTGGGCTAAAAATACCGTGTTTTGCACTTTAGTCCCTGAAGTTCTCCGCCGCGGTTCTGCCGCGGTCGCGGTCAAACCGCGACCAAACATGCTCTCTGATTCTCACTTTGTCTGCAGCCCTCTTCTACCGCGGTTCTGCCGCGGTCGCGGTCAAACCGCGACCAAACATGCTCTCTGATTCTCACTTTGTCTGCAGCCCTCTTCTACCGCGGTTCTGCCGCGGTCGCGGTCAAACCGCGACCAAACATGCTCTCTGATTCTCACTTTGTCTGCAGCCCTCTTCTACCGCGGTTCTGCCGCGGTCGCGGTCAAACCGCGACCAAACATGCTCTCTGATTCTCACTTTGTCTGCAGCCCTCTTCTACCGCGGTTCTGCCGCGGTCGCGGTCAAACCGCGACCAAACATGCTCTCTGATTCTCACTTTGTCTGCAGCCCTCTTCTACCGCGGTTCTGCCGCGGTCGCGGTCAAACCGCGACCAAACATGCTCTCTGATTCTCACTTTGTCTGCAGCCCTCTTCTACCGCGGTTCTGCCGCGGTCGCGGTCAAACCGCGACCAAACATGCTCTCTGATTCTCACTTTGTCTGCAGCCCTCTTCTACCGCGGTTCTGCCGCGGTCGCGGTCAAACCGCGACCAAACATGCTCTCTGATTCTCACTTTGTCTGCAGCCCTCTTCTACCGCGGTTCTGCCGCGGTCGCGGTCAAACCGCGACCAAACATGCTCTCTGATTCTCACTTTGTCTGCAGCCCTCTTCTACCGCGGTTCTGCCGCGGTCGCGATGGAACCGCGGCAATCCTCTTTCGGTTCTGACTTGAGCTGTTTCGCGTGGTTTACTTGACGGAATTTTACGATCGNGTACTTAATTATTTAGTTCTAGCAATTTCTGACCTGGCAAAATGTCATACAACAATTTTTTCCTGATTTTCATGATAGACATGAGTATTGGGACTTCTCTATTTCTTCTGTGCTGGAGTTTATACTGATAAATTATCTTGTCCGATTAGTATTACTATTTAACAAAGCTTTGCATCTTTACTGATTTTGAATGAATAAAAATTACTAGCAACAAACAATTTGAGTTGATTTCTTAAATCAAACAGACAATTGCAGTTATTGGGATGATTCAATTGTTGAAAGGCAAATTTCAACCGAAGTATCCTTTGTGGTTACAAGTTTTAGCTCTCACAATTTAGACAGTAAATCAATTTTCACTTATGAAGGATGTACAATTATTGGGAAAAGTGACTATTGAAAAGAGAGTTTATTTTATGGATATGTTCTAGTAATTCTCGTAATTTTTATGTTTGACTCTTCTAATACTGGAAATCTTAAGAAAAACTACATTAGAACTTTAGAAGCAAAGTTGGGTTCATGTCCTGCTTCATTGTGCTACCTTTATATTTTGTGGTCTGTTAAGATCCGCGTATACAATACCTTCCTCAAACCTCACTACGGGGATATACTGGATATGATGTTGTTGTAGTTATTGTTGTTTAGTTTGTAGTGGTATACTATTTACGAGCTACATATTGTGAGGTTGTGTAATTTCATCCTTATCAATTCTCTTCAACAATTACAACACCAACTATGACTCAGCCCCAAACAAGTTGGGGTCGGCCGTATGAATCTTCACTTCTACATTTAAGCTCAACTCATGTCATCTTTATCGGTTCTCTCCAACAATTATTGCACATTTTTAATTACTGTAACCTCGTTGCTCTTCTTTTGTGGCTGTCAAAAGTAAATACTTGGCTGTTACGAACATCACAGACATTGATTTTCTACAGTTTCTGTGTATACATTGTCTACATCTTACGCTAGCTAATTTACTTTTTTTTACCTGGCATTTCATTGAGTCTACGACTTACTGAGGGTTGATATTAGAACAATTATAGCTTGCCTAACCTATAATATATCACTTTCTAATAACCTGTAGTACCAGGGGATGTACCATTTTGGGGTATTTTGAGGCTTTTCAGGTTCCAGTCCACAGACAGTTAACTTTAACAAAGATAAATGTGAATTTTATTCTAATTTTGGTTGTTTCTAACTGTTGCAGGCAAGCAATGGAGAGAGAAACAGATGCGAAAGATTACAGACAAGGTGTTTTATCGTTTCAAAAATGAAACAGGAAGAGCTAATCTGAAGTTTGAAGATCTTTATATTGCTGTTCTACTTGTCTACAAGTAAGTTTTTTTCAGCCTAATCCTTTCAGTAACTTGTAGAGAACATTAATACCCTTTTATTTTGTGTTTATTACTTGAGAAGGTTTACATCTAATCACTTGTGATCTTGCAGTGATATAAACAAGCTTTTGCCTGGTCCTCACTTTGATCCTCCTCCTAAAGAAGAAGTTAGAGCCTTGATGCAGGTATGCTGCATTTTAACTGATTGGTCACTTGAACCATTTTGTACATGATATAATTTAGGCAGAGTTAATTGTCCACACATTGTTAGATTGAAAACTAGAGTTTCATCTTTTCTATAGTAATAACTATCAGTTCTAATGATGCATCTTATGTTCCTTCTCTGAGAATTAGTGGTTTCTTAGCCTTATGAAACTTAATCTTGGGTAATATATCGACATGAATTTAGAAATAAACTTTATTAGTTTACTGGCCCTTTTCCTTCATACTGAACAATGGGTGTTTCTTTTTCACTTTGACTTTTAGAGTTATCGTAATCTAGGGGATTGTTTCATTGCTATCACAGTATTATTTGATCTTCTTTTTTATTTTTCTCGTTGTTATAGGAGTGTGACATGAATCTTGACGGGGAACTAGATCATGAAGAATTCGTCAAGTTTATTAAAAAATTAACAAAGGATACATTCATCACTGTCAGTCAGGGACTGATTATTACATTGGCAGTAGCACCAACAGTTGCTCTTGTAACAAAGAGGACAACAGAAGGAGTTCCTGGTGTTGGGAAGGTGGTGCAGAAGATCCCAAATGCTGTTTACGCTTCCCTTGTGACCCTTACGATTGTCATGTTCCAGAAAGCAGTTGAAGCTAGGGAATACTGAAATTTGTTTTCTTACAGAAACAAGTTTCTACTTAATGTGTATAATTAAGATAACAGTCATCTGCTACAAAGTTGATTTTGAGTATCTCATTGTTGCACACAACAAATTCCATAAGTCTCTTGTGAATTCCGATGATATATATATATATATCCTGGCATTAGTCTAATATGTCAATTCATGTTTTGGTTGGGCAGCTCACAACTTTTACATTTTGTTTGGCGCAATTGGTGATGAGTACCGTTTCTCACCACACGCATTATAAGTTTTTCTTTTATGTTTGATTCTAGCCTAATGGGATTTAATCCATTTTCTCATAAAAGTTTACTGCAGAAGGAGGAAGTAAGCAACGAATTTTTATTGGATTGGACTTCAATGGGAATCATTTTCAGTTGATCTTTGACTTCACAAATAATGAATTTTGAAGCCTGCACTTGTGGAGTGTTCATTTGATACAAATAGCAAATTTTGAGATCGCTCTGGTGAAGCTCTCACAAGAAAAGACATAGCAAGACCATTTACTCCAATAGCTGAAAATTTGCTCTGTTGCCACTTTGGAGCATTATTTGAAGAGTTTAAGCACTGACATGTTGAAGTTTTTCAAACCATCAGGTTAGATGCAACGTGTGACTCTTGATAGCAAACTCGGTACAGTAACATGGAAAATAGAGCATAACTTGCTATAACCGGTTGAAATTGAAATAAATTTGTAAGAATATTGCCCCCACTGTCAAGATCAGAGGAATTTACAAGCAACCATAGTTGTTCCGGAACACCCCAAGGGAAAGAAATGGAAAACAAAACCTTAATCTCTGAAAGTTGCACTTCGTTACAGATTAGTACAAATCAATGAGCATCCACACGATAGACACAATACATACAACAGGAAGTTGTTAATGGGAAAAGATGCAGGAGTACACAGGCCACGCTAGCAGATTTTGCCAATTTACCACTCGAAGGAACCTTTAATATCATCCAAGCTCTGCCCAAGGGAATGCCTGCCAAAAGAGAAGGAATAAGTGCAAACTAGAGATTCAGATTGCATCCAAAAACCAAAGGGTAAACAAAGGTGAAAGGGGCTCATTTTGTTAGCTTTGAAACAAATTCAATGAGAAGGTATACGCCACAATGAGAAAGGTTGCAGAAAGTAAGACTCAAAGTGAATTCCATTACCATGCTGTGTATATGAACATTATCCGGACATCATATGTTCTAGCTTTTGTTTCAACACAAATAAACAAGAGGGGTAGGGAGTAGAAGAAAAAGGGTTTAAGAAGAATTATTTCCGGTGGCTAGTTTCATCTGCTTGTTACCAGTTCAGACACAAGAGTGAGCACTCGGTAAAAGCTCATGGTAAAAGTACTATTATACAAGCTTTAAATCTGCCCTACTGACAGTACTCTGAGAAGAAATGTGAAAACCTAGTAAGACTGTTGTAACTAGTAATTAAGAGGGAAGTAAAATTTAGTACTACTGAACTGATTGCAACATTTTCAAGTGGAAGTCTATCTGAAAATTTTGCATCAGCTTAACTGACATATGAGATCAACTCCACATAAAACACTTTAGTTGATCATAGCATCACCATTTTGATGAGGCGTTCATGAGGAAAACAGAAAGCTTCCGTGGATATATCGGCTGTTTATTCAGAAAGACATTGGGTCCTTGATTAATGAGATGTTTTCAAGAGCTAAGATGTTTTCAAGAGCTTCTAAAAGCTTTTCGTGCTGGTTCACTCAATTGCGGTAAGGTAGGTTTGCTGGTGCATGTAGGAACCAAGCAAAAACATAAACGTGATTGATGGGCACAAGTCAGCAATATCTCAATCTGAGAGTGAGTTATAAGGAAAACACACGCACGATCACACACATATTAATAATGTAACAAGCAAGGTTTGATGCTCTCATGAAAATGGTGGAAATTGCAACACAGTTTAAACAATCCAAACCGCCCACCCCACCCTAGAGTAGATTCTTATAAGAGATTAACACCTACGTATCAAAATTCAGATGGTGAAACCATTATAAATGTACAGATAATTACCATGGTCTGAAAAATTATCCTCTAATCCGTATTTAAGCTTGAATGCAGATTGTTACCAATCTTCGGGATGTCTAAATCCTAATTGATCAGTCAACAAAAATAAAATATTTCAAAAATTACTCAAAGTAATCCACTTTCTGCATAAATTATCGAAAAGAACCAAAGCATTCATCAGAAAAAAGAATTTTAATCTTACTCAACAAATTTATAGGAGCCTCTGGCGCAATCCCCTAGGTACAAAATATTTCTGTTTTCACGGAAATTTTATCATCTTAAGCCTGAGGATCTCAGATTACTTTTTACTCCTCTCAAGCACAAAGAAGAGAGAAAAACAAAAGCACCTCGCTAAAGTTTTTCACAAAACTAGCAAAAGCGTTCTTCAAACTCACGTGAGAAGAATGTAAGATGAAAAGAACCTTACCCACTCGTTCTTCAGTCCCACAACATTGCAAGAAGCGTTGAATAAAGAAAGAACAGTGAAATAAAAAGTAAATCACATTTTTGAAGCAAAAGCTTAGAAAAACCAATCATCAATGTTTATTTTCAGCAAATTGCGCCCTTTAAATAGACCTTACAATGAGTAAAATTGATAAGGTTAAGGAAAACTAATACTAGTTAAGCTAGAATAAGAATAAGGCTAAGAAAACATATCCCAATTAAAATAGAAAAAATAATTCTACTAGGAATGGGCTACCAACTAATAATCCTAGTTTGATTAGAACTATAAATATAATCCTCCTAAAACAAGAATTAAGAAATCCTAATCTTAAAGGAAAAAAATCCTAATCTTGAATGGATTCTTGGACCTCTTCAATTTCTTGAGAATCTTGGCCCTCAATTGGACTGAGGCTAATTAGTATAAGCATTTTAAATCGTGGCTCAATTCTCCAAATCCATTGACACCTTCAAGAGCCCAGTAAGCCTCCATTGTTGAGAAAACATGGCCTCCATATGTTCATCATTCTCTTTAGGTTGAAAAGGACTCGCCCTCGAGTCATCAGAATAGTAGGGAGCAAGATCTGCTACATTGAAGATAGCTGATATTTCAAAGTTATTGGGAAGCTCCAAGCGATAAGCATTATCACCCATCTTTTGCAGTACCTTAAAAGGTCCATTAGCTCGCTTTTGTAATTTCGAAAACTTGCGGTTGGGAAATCTCTCCTTACTCAAATTAACCGAAACCAGGTCGCCTTCCTTGAACACCACACGAAACCTACATGTATCAGCCTTCTCTTTATATTTATCATTTTGCTTCTCGATATGTGCCCGAACTTTCTCGTGTAGTTTCTTCACTCGATCAACAGCATCTCCACTAAAAGAATGAGCAACTAGAAAAGGGGAAAGATCAAATGGTTCAAGAGGATTCTTACTATAGACAACTCCGAATGGACTCTTTCCCGTAGTGCGGTTGGTTGACTTGTTGAAGGCAAACTCAACAGCAGGAAGTACTGATTCCCACTCTTTGAGATTCTTCTTTATTAACCCACGAAGCAAAGCACCTAAACTTCGATCGACAACTTCGGCTTGCCCATCAGTTTGGGGATGATGAGAAGTGCTACGCACCTAAACTTCGATCGACAACTTTGGCTTGCCCATCAGTTTGGGGATGATGAGAAGTGCTAGGCAGTATTTTTGAGAGCGAGAAGCCCAAAAAACGACAGGGGCTCGCCTCGCTTCAAAAGCGAAGCGCACGCTTCAGTGAAGTGAAGCGCAATTCGAACTTTGGGACATTTTTAAATCCCTATTAAGATATAAGAAAATTCATAATCAAATAAACTGAAAATATAACATATATATGATAATTAATTTTATAAACTGAAAATACATATAAAATTAATCAATAAACTGAAAATATAACATATATATGATAATTAATTTTATAAACTGAAAATACATATAAAATTAATCAATAAACTGAAAATATAACATATATATGATAATTAATTTTATAAACTGAAATACACACTAAAAAAATCAAATAAACAAAAGTATAATATATATATATATATGTAATAATTAATTTTATAAACTAAAATATATATTAAAATTAATAAATAAGAAGAATAAGGGGGGGAACCAGCGCCTGCCCTAGCTGTGCAGACGACTGGACGAGAAAAACTGAAAAAGAGAAGAGAAAGGAGAAGAAAAAGAAGAAGAATAAAAGAAGAAAAATTACGTGGAGGCTGGAACCCTAGCTGGTTGCTGCTGCTAACGTTGGGAAGCAGAGAATCTTTTCACTTTTGGTCTGTTTTGCATAATAAAAACAAAAACCAAACTTTTTTTTTAAATGACCCTTTTGAACAGAAGCGAGTGCTTCTGCGCTTCTCGCTTCTAGGTCGCTTCGCGCTTTTTTGGCTGGAGCGATCGCTTCTGCTGGTTGTGTCGCCTCAGTTTGGAAAAAGCAACGGCTTCTCGCTTCATCTCGCTTAAAGCGACGAAGCGCTCGCTTTTCAAAACACTTGTGCTAAGTGTTAGCTAAGTACCAAGTTTAGCCCGTAAAGTCCTCCACATTTATGGCATCTCTTTTTAAAAATAGCTTGTGAAGTCATGGGCTTCCCTTCAACTTTCTGGACACTTGGTTTTGTTGTAAATGATTGTGACTTGTAGAGCTCAAACTAGCACTCCCATGGTTGAAAGTGTTCGGCTTTTTTATGGTAGTTAATGAAAATGTGGCTTTGGCTTCCTTCTGTTGTGTCCCTACGACCTTGGCTAGTTTGACAATATCTCCAACAGGGCTGCAATTGTATCACATTTGCAATAGGCTAATTTAATCTTGTCAAATATCGAGCAATTAGGCAGGCTAATTTTTTTTTAATGTTACTCTTGAGCCTAAGATATTCAAATTCTCTTGTGTACTCATCCACGGATAAAGTTACTTGTCTAAAAGAATGAAATTTCAAGTAAGAATCTTCTTCATATGTCTCTTGCAAGAATTGTTTGCCCAATTCTCATTTCATTCTCTTCCAAGTGCGAATTCGTGTTTTTCCTTCAAGCCCTCGCTCTCTTTTGAGGTTTTCCCACCATAGCAATGCATAACCTCTAAGCTTTATAGCAACAAGCTTGACCTACTTCTCATCAGAATATTCTTTATCATCAAAAACACGCTCAATAGTTATAAGCCAATCAATGAATTC